TGGAGGGAGGCAGCATGTCTGGCCTTGCAGTAATAGGCCTTGGGTTACTGCTGGTAATCCTGTCTTCCTCTTGTGAGATTAGAGGAGGTCAGAACATGTGGCCTCCCTGCCGTTTTTGCATACGCGAACGGTGTTCTGGGCAAGAAACAGGACCACGGCCCCAAAAGCCCATCTGTTTGCGCCCCTGTGGTCGCTAGCCCACCCCCTAGGCACATGCATGCAGATCTCCCAGCATCCACCAAGCGGGGCCTGTTCTTGTAACCTATGTAAACAGACTCACATGCTTAGTACCCTTCTGAAGTTGGTGTGTCTCGCTCCCTGCGAAGCTTGGGAGAGTCACCGTGATGTCACACACAGTGGCCCTGCACTTTCCTGGCTGTAAAGTATCCCATTATAGGAATATGCCACAAGCCTGTGTGCGTGCACCTGGTGGTGGGCGGTCTGCACTGGGTTACTAAGGGCAGTACTGCTATGAATATTCAAGCGGTCAGCAACAGCACACGCTTTGGTTGCACCCATCTGCACCTTCACCAGCAGTGTCCAAGAGTGCCTCCCTCCTTGCCATCAATTGGCAATTTCTGTCTTTCATGTTAGCCTTTCTAGGGCGTGTGGAGTAGCTCCACTAAAATGCTTTTTAAGATGCATCTGTTCATCATACCTACTTTACTGCCAAACAGGTTTAACACCAGCGTATAATGAAAAGCCAGATCAGACAGAAGGGGCAAAATAACGAAGAAAGAGGTAGATTATTTCCTCCCAGAAACCCACAGCAGGATGTTGGCATCTGCACTGCAGCCACGCCCTACGTGACGTATTCCGAAATTCCCAGCAGCCAGTATCTAAAGAGAAATGCGATGAGTTACACAGCTTGTGTTATCTGATAAAAGGAGTCATCTCAAGCAGTCAGAATCCTGCTTGGAGCTGGGATCAGAGTCCCAACACAATGCGTGCTGACCGTGACAGCAGTCTTGCAAAGGAGACAGAGACACTTTGCATAAGGTTATCTAACTTCTTCAAGCATCTTTCCACAGCTGGAGATACCATGGTGCCCTGCAGCTCTCTGAGGATGCTGGAAGCCGAGGCAGAAGAAACACGGCTGCATGTGGGTCTTCAATCACCTGAGACTCCAGGAGGGAACGGCGACCACAGGTCTCCAGCACCCCTTGCTGTCTCAGGATTTCCTTTTCTTTCAAAGAATTTTGTCTTCTGGTTATAAAAGTCATGACATCCCATTACTAGGTATATACCCTAAAGAAGTGAGAGCCATAACAAGAACAGATATATGCACGCCGATGTTCATCGCAGCACTATTTACAATAGCCAAAACTTGGAAACAACCTAGATGTCCAACAACTGAGGAATGGATAACCAAACTTTGGTACATTCACACAATGGAATACTATGCAACGCTAAAGAATAACGTAGAATCTGCAAAACACCACATAATGTGGATGAACTTGGAGGACATTATGCTGAGCGAAATAAGTCAGTCACAAAAGGACAAATATTGTATTAGTCCGTTATTGTAAAAGTTAAGGAAAGGTTTATATATTGGAGGACATTTTCTTTGTTGGTCACCAGGGGTGGGAGGGGAGGGGAGGGAATGCTGTTAGATAGATAGAGATAAATATTGATTTGGGTGAAGAGAAGGGCAATGTACCAAATGTGAGTGACCAATATGGCAGCATTGAGGGTGAGAAAGACATAGAGAGTTACATGGGCAGTACAGACAACAAATATGAACCCCTTTGCATATACAGTACTGAGTTGTCAGTGTAAGCAAACATGGGTATAGGGACGGATAGATGGGTGAACAAGCTAAACAATTATGTATGTCTAAATGGAGAGTGTATCCAAGATCATATATAGGGTTGGCAGACAATGGGCCTATAAGTTCATGTGAATGATCAGAATTCCCAGGTGTATAGTAGAGCTGACAAGGGGCAAGGTTATGGTCATTACTTGGTCACAGCCAGCTACCCAGAGGGACCGAGCAGTTGATCCTGCGGGCTTGGGACCATAGTCGCAGGGGACATCAAGCTCAATTGGCATAACATACTATACAAAACATTGTTCTACCTACTACTTTGGCGAGTAGCGACTGGGACCTTAAAAGCTAGGAAGCTGCCATCTAGATGCAACAATGGGTCTCTCCTCGTCAAGAAGAAAGAAGAAAACCAAAATTAATGGAAACAATCAGTCCTAGTGACTGGTTCACCATCCGATCTGCAACCTGTACAACTATGAGACCAGAAGAACTAGATGGTGCCCAGCTGCCACTGCCATCCACTTGGAAGGGATGTAGGAGATCCTGCATAAAGAGGGAGAACAATGTGGAACAAAACTCAAAATCATTTGGAGGCAAAAAAAAAAAAAAGAAGGTGGGGACCAGGTTTGCTGGTCCAATAGAGCCTGGTGTAACCACTGAGACTATGGCCCCTAGCTGCCCTTCAGGTCTGGAATTGAACCCACAACTGTGGTTTCCAGCCAAACAAAGTACAGGCATGTGAGTTAAACATTTACCTCAAGTAGACACACGCCCTGGAGAGAACAATCATGGGAGAAGGAAGGGCTACTTATGCACAGGGAGACAGCTCAGGGGGCAGGAGAGTATGAAGGGATGGACACTGGGAGGAGGTAACTATGGGGAGGAAGTGGGAGGGGAGCTGCTGCATTGTAAATTTTGGTCAATGACATGAGACAAGGTATATGTGAACTGCTGTATGAAAAGTGAATTTACTCTGTAAATCTTCACCCAAATCCTAATTACAGAAAAAAAAAAAAAAAAAGTCATGACAGTTCATTATGGGAAACAAGGAAGAAACTAGACACTAACCCCAGGACTGAGGGTCAGCCTTCTAGACGGTTTTCTATGCACTACGTATTGTAATTCATGCATACTGCCTTTTCTTTTTATAAATTGGTATGTGGTTCAGGCTATCTATTCACTGTCACCAGCCTACTTCAATGGAAGGGAAAAGGGGACAGTGTAGCTTAGAGGCATCAAGCTTCTGTTAGGAGCGATGGAATAACCTGGAAGTGGATGGTGTAGTGGCCACATAGCATGATGAACTGTGCATGTGAGAACGGGCGAATGCTTTGTCGTGTCTATTTTCACCACAAGACAACATTTTAAAACAAGCAACAGAGGAAAAGTCTAAGAGTTGGCACTGTGAGACTGGGGGGTGCGCCCCACGGCTGAGCTGCTGGCAGGTCGGAGGACACTCCCAGAGCTGGAGAAGGGAGCCCTGCCTGCACCCACAGGAGGCTGTGCTTGGAAACCTCCCCAGCACCTTCCAACAGACCCCACTCTACCGCTCCACTAAATCTCCCACCCACTAGGCTTTCCGTTTCCATGCTGTTCCTCCACCTACTACTCTTGGTTCTGTCCACTGAAGAAATGGTGGTCTTCCTATTAATTTTTTAAGCTTTACAAGTCTTCCTTCCACTGTCCAAAAGAGTATTTTGATGCTGAGATTTACTTCAGTAATTCCACAAGAGAATGGGGGTGACAAAGCGAGCTGTGAATACCTGCCAACAGCTGGGATACTCACTGTGAAGTTCATCTCCTTGATGGGCAGCTTCAGGTGTTCAAATCCCACAATCACTGTGTACTGTGTGTAATTCAGGTAGCCAAGGTGAGCCACAATAATTTCTGCACATTTCTGCAAATACACAAGGCAGATTTTGCTCTCATTCAAAGCAAACGAGACTGTCTCTGCCACCAAGTGACCCATGCAGAAGCACACGCCAACCAGACGCGCAGAGCTGATCACTGCCAGGGAACTCGCCAGAAGCACGGTTCCAACGGTGGCCCAAAACCATTCTTGGAAAGGAAGAACCCAGTGGTTATTTTTGGAAGCAAACAACATGACTTACAATCACTGGACTCTTCTCATTTCAGATGATTCACAAGCACACATCACCTGTGTAAAATCACTAACACGGTAACACAGATCTGACATTTCCATAGCTACACCAACAGCCAGGGTGAACAGAAGCCAAGGTGCCCTAATGAGACACTCCCCTAACTCCACCATCCTTGTAATGATGCAGAGTGGGTGATGGCTTGTCATCTTGCACTGAGCCCCCTGACTGTCCGTAAAGGGGTCAGGTGTGTAACACAGCTAGTGTGAACATGGAGACGTGTGTGCTTATCTACCTGCCAGGAGCCCTTTCAGAATAAAGAACCAGGCACCCCTGCTTCTGTCAGACCCTCCCAGGAGAGCCAGGAGGAAGACTCACTCCGGGATATGGATGGGGATGGGGACTGCCCACTTCACACACAGACACAGCAACTCCCTGAGCCCAGCATATGTGACTCCAGAACTTCTCCCACTCTCCTGGGTCACAACAGCCCACCACTGCCCAGAATAAATGGGCAGCTCTCAGCTCTGAGTGGGGCAGGATAGGCCCCTATAGTTAGGAGGGAAAAGCACCAAAGCTGACTTCCGGGGACAAAGGTTTCCCAAGCACCACACGTCTGAGGTCAGGAAGCAAACAGAACTGGGTTTCACATGAGAAGCCTTGACATGGTGCCTGCTGGGAGAGAGCAAACTGAAGGGAGCACAGTGAATCAGAGGACAGACCAGCAGGGGTCACAGGTGTTAGAAGGCCGCTGGAAAATACGCTCAGAAACTGCAGCTCCAACAGAGTCCCACAGAGCCCTGGAGGCTGGATGACCCGCAAAACTACTGCCCTGAAATCATCTTTAAACCTTAAGCCAAAAATATCTCCTGACGTCTTCTTAAATCCAAGCAATATTAACTGGCAAAGCTGTCTGCCTTGACCACAGTGCTCTTCCAAGGACAAGCTGTATGGGATCAAATTAACAATAGCAACTTAGAGGACTAGACAGGAAGCTTAGGGCCCAGTGAGTTCATGTTCATGGGGGTGGAACAACTCAGAAAAGGAGGGTGAGAATGGTTGCACAACTTGACGGATGTAACCAATGTCACTGAGCTGTTCACGCAGAAACTTGAACTGGTCTATGTTTTTGCTGCATATATTCCAATAGCAACAAAAATAAATGAAGTAATGATGCAGCCCAACCCTGCCCTGAAGTAGCTGTCCCCAGGGCTGATTGGCTGTCCCTGCACATACAGCCCCGCGGCGTTCTCGTCAGGAACACGTACCACATACAGCCCCGCCGAGCTCCAGTGAGTAACTCATTCGATGTACAGCCTCGCAGCATTCCCGTCAGTAACCCATACAACATACAGCCCCACAGAGTTTCCATTAGTAATTCATTCAACATACAGCCCTGCAGCATGTGATGTGTGGAAGCCATTGTTCTCATGCCAACCCCACAAGATAGGATTTATAAAGACACTGAGAACAAAAGGCATTAATAATGACAACTGAAAAAAGAAATGCAGTGTTCCACTTATGTCCAAATCAACTCATGACAGAGTCATTGGAACGGGACCCTGTTGCAAGCCGGGGACTCTTGTCATGTCTCTGTAACATAAAAACCCCCTGTGGCAAGGTTATGGTCATTACTTGGTCACAGCCAGCTACCCAGAGGGACCGAGTAGTTGATCCTGCGGGCTTGGGACCATAGTCGCAGGGGACATCAAACTCAATTGGCATAACATACTATACAAAACATTGTTCTACCTACTACTTTGGCGAGTAGCGACTGGGACCTTAAAAGCTAGGAAGCTGCCATCTAGATGCAACAATGGGTCTCTCCTCGTCAAGAAGAAAGAAGAAAACCAAAATTAATGGAAACAATCAGTCCTAGCGACTGGTACACCATCTGATCTGCAACCTATATAACTATGAGACCAGAAGAACTAGATGGTGCCCAGCTACCACTGCCATCCACTTGGAAGGGATGTAGGAGATCCTGCATAAAGAGGGAGAACAATGTGGTACAAAACTCAAAATCATTTGGAGGCAAAAAAAAAAGAAGGTGGGTACCAGGTTTGCTGGTCCAATGGAGCCTGGTGTAACCACTGAGACTATGGCCCCTAGCTGCCCTTCAGGTCTGGAATTGAACCCACAACTGTGGTTTCCAGCCAAACAAAGTACAGGCATGTGAGTTAAACATTTACCTCAAGTAGACACACGCCCTGGAGAGAACAATCATGGGAGAAGGAAGGGCTGCTTATGCACAGGGAGATAGCTCAGGGTGCAGAAGAGTATGAAGGGATGGACACTGGGAGGAGGTAACTATGGGGAGGAAGTGGGAGGGGAGCTGCTGCATTGTAAATTTTGGTCAATGACATGAGACAAGGTATATGTGAACTGCTGTATGAAAAGTGAATTTACTCTGTAAATCTTCACCCAAATCCTAATAAAAAAAAAAGAAAAAAAAAAAAAACCCTGTGGGAAGGCAAGGCGTGTTCCTTACAGGGCTTGGGAGTGTCGTAAGTAAGGCGGGAACAAGGGAAGAGAGAAGTTCCCAAGGAGGCGATGGTGTAAGCCCGAGCAAGGCCACCACGGAAGAGGGAGAGACCACCATGACAGACTGAAGGGCACTCCAAGGAGCCTGGCACAGACAAGCAGGCCCAAAGTGCCCAGCTATTTGACACAAAGGCTTTAGGTAGGCGACCAACATGTCCTGGTTTGCCAGAGACTTGCAGTTTTAAATCTGAGTGTTCTACATCCAGACAACCCCTCACTCCTGGGAAGATCAGTACGACGAGTGGTCCCAGCTTTGGGACATGCAGGCACTGACCGATCGGTGTGGTGGCCTCAGTTTGAGAAACAGCAGTGTCAGGTGCCAAGATATGTCCAATATGGAGGTCAGGCCAGGCAGAGGCGGCCAGCACACCACCTGGGGCCACCTGGAGTCCCGCTTGTCCCGCAGGACCACTCATCCTCGGGAGCCATGGTGACAAGGGTGCTCCCCGACACACCACCCAGAGCCCCCACCCGTCCAGCAGAGCTCTCCAAGCACCCATGTCCTCAGGCACAGGGACAGGCAGGCACCTGATGCTAGTGTAGACGCTACACACTTCCACATGCAGTGTCCAACTCAGTCCCCACCATGGCCCAAACACAGGTGGAGACAGCCCACCCACCAGTTCACAGACGAGGAAACGGTGTGACGAGAGCGCTGATCACCTACAGACACAGCTGCCACTCAACAGAAGAGCAGGGCGGGTGCTGCTGTGGTGGAAGGAGCAGGCCCCACAGGGGTTCTGCCAACAGAGACACTGTTGGCAGCGCCACAACCCGGACTCCATGGCATGGTCCGGACCCTGTTGCTGTCCTCTACTAAATGTCAACAGAAACGGAGCATGACAAGGCCAACCAGCCTCGTACACCAATCCTTCTCTATCTGAGTTACTTCTGGCAGGATAAACCAGGCCAGCACCTCACTCTTCAGGGTGATTCAGGACACAGGCCCTGGAATGAGGGTGTGGCGTTACTCCCGGCCCTTTCACATGTCACCTTGGGCAAGCGGTTGGGCCTCTGTAAGTCCCAGTCCCTTCTTACGTAAAATGGAGCTTCTAGAATTGTCACTATTCTGCATGCAAGTACGGACAGTACTTGGTATGACATCTAGCCACAGAAAGCACTCGGTCCCTGCTTTCCGATGTCCCCTCTGGAACCCTGAAAGCCCCGGACTGCCCTATTGGATGCTTTCCCGTTCTCCAGGCTGCCCATCACTGAATTCAGACTGGGACTCCCTGAAACAGCACACGGGCTACTAGAGCGGTCCCTGCTGCAGGTGTCACAGGACAGTGGCCGACCTTCAGATGCACCAGGTGCCCTGGAAGCATTCACCTAGGGACGCACCAGGCATTAAGTTCAACAGAAAGGAAAATGGGCTATCACGTACACTCAGGGCATGTGTGTGTGTGTGCATGTGCACACGTGCGTGTGTAACTTTCTAAGAACCTATAAGGGTATTTGTGTGTGTGTGCACACATGCACATACATGTGTGTGGTGCAGTGAATTATTTGGAATGGCTTTTCTAGCCACGGTCCTTGTGACTCCCACCAGATTACTGGGTGGGGCCATGCAAATAAGGTAATGGAATGCTAATGTTAGGATTGGTTAGTTTTGTCACTCTGCCAGGCTTAAAATGAGCCCTCCTAGAGGCAGAAAGGGGGATCTCACTGCCATCAAGAGAGAGGAGCTAGAGGTGAAGTGAAGTGCATCCTTGGACCTGAGATCCCTGCCATGGGCCTGCCTGGCAGAGATGCCTGGCTGAGAGACGGCACCAGTGGAACCAAGAGGTAGCAGCCTTACTGGCCCACGGAGCCAGAAAGCTGAGTGCCTTCCGGCAGTAGGCCTGCAGGCAGAGCGGGGTGCATGTAGGTACACCTATCAGCAAACTGGCAGAGCTAAGAGAGCTTTGTAACACTTGCCAGAGCAGGGCACAGACCAGGCCAAGAGGCGAAGGGTCAGCGAGGCGAGTCTGAGGGCACAGCAGAGGGGAGGCTGTCCTGATTGAAGAACTGTATCCTGAGTGTCTTCCTGAACCTCAGTTGTAGCCTGTGACTTCCCTAATAAATCCCATAATCACGAGTATTGTCTGTGAGTTCTGTGTGGCCACTGCAACAAATTATCGAACCCAGCAGAGAAATAGCAAATGCCGTGGGAGGGACAGCTGGCGTCAGAGTTGGTAAAAAGGCTGGAGGGTGGCAGCATGTCTGGCCTCACAGGACTAAGCCTTGGGCTGCTGATGGTGATTCCATGTCCTCCTTGTGAAGTTAGAGGAGATCAGAAGATGCCACCCCATGTCCTTTTCATAGTGTGTAACTTTCTAAGAATCTATAAGGGTACCTGTGTATGTGTAACTTTCTAAAAATCAATGAGGGGATCAGCGTGTACGTGTGTGTGTGCATGCACACGTATGTGTAGCTTTCTAAGAGTCTATAAGGGTATTTGGTGTGTAACTTTCTAAGAATCTATGAAGGTACCTGTGTGTGTGTGCATGTATGCACGCACACGTGTGCATGTAACTTTCTAAGAAACCACGAGAGGCTCAGTGTGTAAATACACAGGTCATCCTGGCCTGACTCCATTGTTGGAAGCAGCCTCCTCCTGTGCCCCAGCTGCCTCGTCAGAGAAGGTGGCCCGGGCCAGTGCGGCACAGCGCAACATCGGCCTGGTCATGGCACTTACCCCTGCGCACGTGAGGGTCCTGGTCCGATTGTGAACTTTGTTATGAATGAACATTATGGTTCCACCTGGAGCTACACCATCGACTTTAACAGTCAGGGGAAAGCTTGTCTGAACTGAAGTTTCTACAAAAGAAAGAGAGGAAAATGGGAACGTGTCAGGCACCACCTGAGACACTGTCCTCACTCCTGCACAGGTGTGCTGCCAGCTCACTGTCAGGGTCCAGCACAGGTACCGTAGTGTCTGCTCTGGAATGACTTTAGAGCCAGGGACACACAGGAGGGCTCGGGGGCTGTTTAAACCACATTAAGCCTGGGCCTGTTAGAAAACCTCACATCTGCCAATCAAAGCTCCACCTCCACCCCCTCACCCTGCGGCCTGTGTGAAAACCTGCCTCACACAGATCCATCAGGTTCACTTACAAAGGGCAGATACTTCATGACTGATGAAATTACAGTTTTTCATTTTCCACATGAATTTTTAATTTAACTGTATACCAAAAGAGATTTATTTTTTTCTGATTACATGATTCATTAATTTTCTGATTATACATATGCTCAATTAAAAAAAATCAATATATATAAATACACACATATACACACACAACACATAAGGGGCCCTGTTGGCACAGTGGTTAAGTGCTCGGCTGCCAACCAGGTCAGCGGTTCAAACCCACCAGCTGCTCCATGGGAGAAAGATGTGGCAATCTGCTTCCATAAAGATTACAGCCTTGGAAACTATGTGTCTGTCCTTCGTGTGTGTGTGTGTGTGTTTATGTGTAAGCGTGTGTGTGTGTGAATGGCATTAAACACTTATAACCCCTCTACCTAGAGAGAAATGTTACTAACATTTTATGTCCCTCCCTCATTTTCTAGACGTAAGTATATGGTGTTGTTTGCCATTGAGTCGGACCCGACTCATAGAGACCCCTCCTTGGGTTTCCAAGGCAGTATCACTACAGAAGTAGATTGCCCCATCTTCCTTCCAAAGAGTGGCTGGTGGGTTTGAACGCCAGCCTTCTGGTTAGTAATCAAGTGCCTTAGGCACTATGCTACCTGAGCTCCTAGACGTAAGTATATAGAGATATAAAATTTCAAAATTTTACAAAAGGGGGATTTTATATATATATTTTAATGTGCATGAGATCACTCTCTAATTCCTTCTCAAATGAATTCCTCATTTCAACAGAGAAAATAATCTGGGTGACGGTCTTCATCTCCCAAGGATGGTCACAGCCAGTCCCGCTCTACATGAATGAAAGTTAACTAGCCAACTAGTTAACTAGTCACCAGCAGTGGGTACCTCCGGGGAGGTTTTCGACCTTGACGCTCCCCCAGTTTGGGCCAGATCGTTCTGCTGTGAACGTCCAGCATCAGCCCTGGCCTCTACCCACTAAATGCCCGTAGCATCCCACCCCCAAGACACTGCCAAATGGGTCTGGGGATGGAATCCGCAACCCCCCCGAAACAGCTGGCAGCAGCAGCACCCACCCATGCTTAGCCCAAGCTGAGCCACCATGCACCCTACTGAGGGCCGGGTCACAACCTACTGTCTCCCGCGGAGGACGTTTTCTTTCTCTCTTTTTTGTGGCTACGTAATAGAACGTGCCATGCCAATAATCCTCACACATATACTTTGGAGGTACGACTTATGTTCCCCGTGGTATTCAATCCCTGGTCCAGGCCCACATTTACCATCACCCTAGCAAGCCCAGTGCCCCCTAAGCACTGAGTCCTGGAGGACACTTGAGGGATTTCCAGTTTGCTGCTATAATGGTAACGAACATCCTTCTACATCACCTTGTCTCCAGACTTTAAAGCCCTTTCAAGCTTCCAGCCGCAGTGCTCTGTCCTTAGAAAGACCAGGCAGCCTACCTTTCGACTGATCCAACTCCACCACACATGTCAGCCACAGCTGCTGATTATACGTAGACAGTGGGTTTGAAAGTATCTCAATTGGCTTTAGCTGAGGCAAAAAGAAAAAAAAATCAGTAATCCACGTGACCTTTTCAATGGCACCACTACGCACTTCACTTTAACATCCAAAGTGGACACTGGGCAAAAAAGCGTCGTGCCTGGGCTTGGAAACAGATCTGTGGGTAGTTTTCCTTTAGACAACTTAAGTGAAACCCTGTCTCCTGGAAAAAGAAAAGACCTGTTGCCATTCACCTGTCTCCGGTCAAAACCCGCAGGCAGGATGGTTTCCACTGCTTGAAGCTGAGGCAAGAGACCTAGGTTAACAGCAAGAAAAGGCCAGCTCTGGGGAGAAGGGAAAGCGGCAGAATGCTGGGATGGACAGGAAGACAAGAGAGGATCCAGGGAGACGTCTCCACAAGCAGGCATGCCTCGGGCTCCCTCTCCAGCAGCATGCAGGTGGCATGGTTAGGGCTGGTACTTTTAGCTTCTGAAAGCCTTACCGCCCTGAAGAGAAAAACAGAGGCGATGGTGCCTAAGGTACTTGTGCAGGATCTTCTGAAAAGCCCAGTGTTGGCATCTAATGGCCATGGGATTCAGAAGACAGTTGTTTAAGGAGCCCATCCAGGTTCCACAGAAGCCTGGTGTTGTGTTTGAAGACATCTGCCAAGTGGACCTGGGTCTCCGTGAAACACTTGGGGACCAGAGACTCTCCTGAAAGCCAGCAATGCAGTGACACCCAGGGAGGGGACCGACTGTCCTTCCCAGTGATGATGTCTCTGTGCCCAGTCATTCTGTGGGCTGGCTGCTATCCTCAGAGTCAAACAAAGCTCACACCTGAGACACAGAACCACTGGCAGGAACTCCATGGAGGCACCTCTTCAGATTTTCAGCCAAGAGTTAGAGAAACAAAGAAACACAATGAAGGTATGACAGCGGGCAAAGCAGAAGGCCCTCTCAAACACGGGGCTGAAAGGCACACGCTTCAGGACCGTTTCTTCCTTTTGCCTTTTTAAAATATCATATAAGGAAGAAACCTAGTGAGGAGGGGGAGACAGAGAGAAGTGGGCCTTGGAGTCAGATATCAGACTGAAACAGTGCATGAACGGGGCCATGAAAAGGCAAGATGATGTGTCCAGTTTACAGATGAAGACACTGTGTTTGACACACAGAAAAAGAAGAGTTTAGCTGTTCAGACTCTCACATTTTAGAAAAGGACACCAAATTTATTAGAAGAACCTTTGTTTTCCTCTAAAGACAAAGAAGAATCTAAGCATATTTTAAAAAATTAATTTAAGTCGAATTCACGTAAGGCATGTAAAATAATCGTTATAAGGAACTGCTCCTGTCTGACACCTGGCACGGAGACCAGGTCTTCACCTGGGCAAGCAGGAAGGGAGGGGCAGGAGGAGAACTTATCTAAGGGCTCCCCTTTGGAAAGGAACGGATGAACCCTAAGAGGCAACACCACCATCCATCCCATGTACTGAGGTATTGATTCCACAGGCTGACGGGGACTGAGAAATGCATGCTGCCTGAGAAACAAGAGGCTGGGCACGGTGGGCAGTCCGCCTCAGGCGCCTCTGAAAATCCAAACCCAACCCACCGCCACTGACTCAATTTGGACTCCTGGAGATCCCAGGTGTTACAGGGTAGGGCAGTCTCCTCAGGGTTTTCTTGGCTGTAGTCTTTATGGAAGCAGGTCACCAGGCCTTCCTTCCAGAGCACCAGCAGATGGGTTCAAACTGCCAACCCTCTGGCTTGTAGTTGACACAAAATGTCTGCACCACCCCAGAGCCTAAGGTCCCTTTGCAGGACCATTTCCTAGTGACTCGGCAGTTTATAATCGCTCGCTGGCTGCCACTCAGACCCAGGCTCACCTTTTTGCTACTGTTCAGCGAAAAATTGGCTGCAGAAGTCTGGATCACTTTGGGCCCTAGAGTGTAATAGAGAGAGAAAAAAAAGCAGGTTACATCATTCTGGATGTTTAACTGATCGATTTGTTTTTCAAATGCCAAGACAGACTCATACATGACGTGGAGGTGGTCTCATCTCCTGGTCTTACTTTAGAGATTTTACATATTTAGGGAAAATATATGAACACATGGGAGCCTAAGGCATTTGACTGCTAACCAGAAGGCTGGCGGTTCAAACCCACCAGCCATTCTTCGGAAGGAAGGTTGGGCAATCTACTTCCATAGAGATACGACCTTGGAAGTCCAGGGAAGGGTCGCTATAAGTCAGATTCAACTCAACGGCAGCGAGTTGTTTGTTTTTTTATATGAACACACACACAGACCCAGAAGCATGGCCTCTGCTGGACTCGGGGACTTCACACACAGGCTAACAAAGTCTAATGCCCAGTTGGGCAGCTCTCCATAGGATTCAGTATGTACAGAAAACCCTATTCATTTCCTCCCAAGGAGGGTACTCACGAACCCGAGAGAACCCTAAGTGCAGACAGGTCTGGAGAGCTTGTAAAGTACAAAGACTTCTGCTGAAAATTAGCACACCCTAATCTCTTCATCCAACCAATTGAGTCTTCCAAAAATAATTCCAAAAAACCTACCACTAACTGTGGTCAATGACATGAGACAAAGTATATGTGAACTGTTGTGTGGAAAGTGAATTTGCTCTGTAAATCTTCACCCCAATCACAATTTAAAAAAAAAAAAACCTACTACCATCAACCTGATTCCAACTCACAGCAACTGAGTAGAACTGCCCTATATGGTTCCCAAGGCCATAAATCTTTACGGAAGCAGACTCCCACAGAGCGGCTGGTGGGTTTGAACCCTGACCTTTTGGTTAGCAGCTGAATGCCTTAACTACTGCACCACCAGCACTCCTTAAAAAAATATTTCAATGGGGCATATAAAGAAGCACGAAGTACACCTAGACTCAAAGTTTTTCAGAAATAGATACACAAGCTTTATCGACTCTTCCTGTAACTCTTCAGAGTTCAGCCTTGAGAGGGTAACCCAAGGAAACCCTACAGAGCTGGGTGTGCACTATAAACACATCACTCTCGAGGAGTGGGGCCAGCTTCCAGGCAACCTGCCGCCAACCAGCCTGCACGGGAGAGGAGGCAGCCTGGATATGTGGACCCGGTGAGACAGCTCATCCTAGGGCTGCAGGGATGAGGACTTCTCCAGGTCGGAAGGAGGCTGGCGTCCACAGAGAGATACATGCAGGCCCGCCCGTGTGCAGACCCCCAGGACACGAGACAGTCTGGTTTCCATTGAGACTGGAGAGCCTGAGAGCATGAAGGCTCCCCTGCCAATCCTGAAGAGTAATTGTGGAAACCAAGCAAGTTAAGGCATGTGTCGTGTGCAGAGATTACTGTAATTGCATCCCTTGGTGATTCAATGGGAGGGAGAGCCTGGCTCAAGTTGCCGTCACCACCACCACCACCACCTTAAGGGAAATCACGGCTCCACAGCCACGCTCATGCTCAGCGTCCCAGTCCATGCACCAACCTGAGCTTCCGCTGTGGTGAAGAAACTACTCTTTGAGGCAGAGATGCTCCCGGGACGGGGTAGGCCTACCCGTCACTCACACTCCAGTGGTAAATGCACCAGTTAAACAGCTCACCCTCACTGAATGTTGTACGTGATCTCAGGACAGAGGAGAACGAACAGGAAGAAAGACAGCCGCACTCCAGTCTGAGCCAGATGCCTGCCCGGGGCCATCCTCTACACCAGCACCACCGCTGGGCTGTGGGGACCCACAGAGGGCCTGCCTGCCAGACTGCCAGGACCCACGGAGGACCTGGTGAGAACCACTCAAGCTCGCTGGCTCTCGGGTGTCCATCAGGATGACTTCAAGGGCTTGTTGAAGCTAACGTGGAACGTGGCTTTGATGCGGCCCTTCCGCTGCACAACAGTGCAGCTACAGGTGCTGGCACCGGGCAGAGGCAAGTCTACAGGGACCCTGCCATCGTCATGCTGAGACCCCCAACCCCCTGCCCCAAGCTCACAATCACCATCACTGCACTGAAGTGATGGCCCCTGCAGACAGCGAGCTCTGACCCCAGCACCCAGGCAGGTGCTGGTGCACAGCACTCACTCTAGAAATGACTGATCATCATTAGAGACAGCAGGCGAAGCCCAGGCCCTGGCTGTGTCCAGGCAGGAAATGAGTCTTCCAGCCCCAGGCTACCTGGGCCTGCACCAACCCACGGCAGGAGCGCGAGGGGCCCCACGGGCTCAGAAGGCACTGGTGCTTCCTCCCCAGCAGCAGTGTCCTCACGGGTGGGGACAAGGGGAGTGCGAAGCAGCTGCAAGGGGGAAATCACCAAACGGAACCTACCTTTGATCCCGACGAAGACGGTCAGGCCAAAGCAGAGGAAGAAAACGACAAACACGAGGACAAAGTGGCGCTTGGAGAGTGTGTACAGCCGCATGGGCGCCAGCCTGGGGAGAAGGCAGGAGGTAAGGGAGGTCCAGGAGCTGGTCCGCACCAGGAGGGAGGCCACCTGGCCAGGACGCAAGGTCGGTCAGGGAGCGAGCCTGTGTCGGAGGGCCAGCCACACGGCTAGGACACGAGGGAGGCGGGGGAGCTGGCCTGTGTCGAGGGGATGGCCATGTGGCCAGGACACGAGGTTGGCCCGGGATCTGGCCCGTGTCACAGGGGACAGCCACGTAGCCAGAACACAAGGGAGGTGGAGGAGCTGGCCTGTGTCAGGGGGACGGCCACATGGCTAGGACACAAGGGCAGTGGGGGCCCCCATCAAAGGGGACCACTGTGCAGCCAGGACATGAGTCAGGGGCAGCAGTCAGGGGCTGGCCCGCGTCGGGGTCAAGGGGAGACAGCCAGGATGCCATGTAGGCTGCCCACCTCCCCCCATCCTCTAGCCCCTCACCTAGACATGGACTTATTCCAAAACCAGGAGACCTTTCCTGACAAAACGGTCTCAGGGACCAGTGCGACTACTCAGGGAGCAGGTGACATCCCTGTATGTCCTGGATCCAGTGCTCCACAGGGAGGGCCTGCCACTCTGGATGGCCAGCGTGGGACAGGCCACCCCCACCCCTCCTGAAGGAGAAGGCTTTGGGCACTGACACCCACTCAGGTATGTTTCTCTCTCTCTCTCACACACAAACATACAAACATACACACACACATGCACTGCAAGAGCAAAGCTCATGTGCTCAGGGCCCTAATGTCACTCCCAGTAGTGGTATCCCTCATGGTGACAATCACCGGAAGACTGGAGATCTCAGGTGCCACCAGGGTCCTATGCTGCCCTGGCGTCCCCACCGGCGCCGGATTTGCCTTTTCCCCTCCAGATCCCGTTCATCTGAGACCCCACCAGTCTCACCCCACCGTGGGCAGCTGTGAAGTCTGGCTTTGATGCAACTCAAGCTGCCACACTCGCCTGTGATTTACACCAGCGTGGGGACGGACTCAGGGACTCACCTACCACTCACCCCAGCAGGGTCCCCTCCTGTGAGCCCCCCTTTCCCCTGCGCCCAGAGGAAACGACAGCAGGGTGGGCGTCACTTCTCTTTGAGAACTCCCTCTACCAGGGTCAGCCAACAAAAGAAACCCCTGGAAAGCACGGGGGATGACTTAGACTTGAGGGCCACACGGTCTCTGTCACAGGCCCTCCCCTCAGCCTTCCTAAGCAGCAGACCCCCCGTGAACGAAGGTGCATATCGGGCTCCAGCTAAGCCACAGCAGGTGGCAGACCCCTGCACCCTAACGAGGAGACCCATCAGCCTGAGGAGGGCACAGCAAACAGTGTTTCTGTTTTGCCTTGTTTCGCAGGGGATCTTTCCTGGTCTTGGAAGCTGGAGAGAGCAGAAGGGTGCCTGCCAGAGGACACACCCTCTCTCAGACATCCTGGCCAGGCGGGCACAGGTGACCCCACACACACCGGAGGTGGAGAGACGTACTCTACGCCGGACATGGGAGCCATTATTTACCCTGTGGTGTGACACACACACCAGTGCTAAGCACACACCCTCTCCTGCTTGAAGAGCCCCCCGGAGGAGGAAGTCAGGGCTGGGGGCTGGGGCTTATCTCGGGCAGAGGTGGGGCCCTAAGCCTGTGGGGAGGCTTGCTGACAGGGAGCCTGCACGCTTCCTGGTGAGCGGACCAGGCACTCCAGGGACACTCAGCTCAGTGTCACTGTCTCTGAATGGTGGAACCGGGGAGAGAGCGAGCCTCCGTGTTTGCTCCTGGGGCTCCAGTTGACACTCAGGCTCAGGGCAGCCCGCTGCATGTGAAAGGGAGAGCTGGTGAACTAAGCCTGCTCCCGACCCCGCTTCTGGACCCCATAAACTATGAGGAGTCCCTCCTAACTGCACGTTAACACACTCAGCTGCTAACCACAAGGTTGGAGGTTTGCGTGCACCCGGCAGCACCGTGGAAGAAGGGCCTGCAATGTGCTTCTGAAAACACCCGGGGCCCAGCTGTGCTCCGACACGCGGGGCTGCCATGGGTCGGGAGTCGACACGAGGGCCAACGGCAGTGAAAGCCTGCGAAGCCTGAGAGCCTGACACCCAGAGCCTGAATTACCTCAGGGAGGGAGCTCCACCCTCCACCCTGCAGACGGGGAAACTGAGGCCGAGAGGTGGTCCTGGGAGGAGGCTCTGGGCAGCAGGTCGGAGCTGAGCAGCCCCACCCTCCAGAAGTGACCCTCCAGCACCATCCCAGGGAAGTGCAAGTGGGGGCGTGGCGACTGGCGGCTCTTCCTCACTTGTCACCTGCCTCCGCAGGTGTTGCGCCTGTTACTGGCCGGCCTTTCAACAGCACCTGTGGTCTCATAGCCCACAGACAGGGAGGCTTTTCTAGTCAGCTGCTCAGGGCACTTCCCTTTGAAAAATCCCAAAGCTACATGGAGTACTCCCTGGAGCTTGAGGGGACATCAGCAGGAAGCTGGGGAAATCCAAATACAGCTTGTTGCGTTAAAAACAAGGCCTCACGCGCACCAAGTCGTTCCCGAGCATGTGCACGGAGGCACGGAGGAGACCGGGAGACCCCCTTGCAGAGGCTGAGCGCCCAGAAAGGGAGGCAGAGAAAACCAACTAAGAACAACAAACACGCTACCAACACGCAAAAAGCACAGCTATTTTGCAGGTGAGGAGGAGTACAGGCCAATCAGGAACAGAGGCCAGGACACCTCTGCGACACCCTTGTCACTCAGGCAGGGCACACCTGACCCAAGGGCTTTTCCAAGTTTCTCTTCACAGTGTGGACAAGATCTAGCCCTTTCCTTCCCTAGAACTTCCACTGAAACCCAATTCATTAACCCATGAAACTATGCCATCAGTCGCTTCTGACCTAAGCGGGATGCTTCTTTTTCTGTAGTTCTCACTGCTATTGCGTTTTCTTCTCAGTATCTTTGGGAGAGTGGCGTGTAAACTGACAGAGAATGGTAACTTCCACAAGGACATGCTGCCCCACAGCAGTGAACTTTAGTGACGGTCAGGTGTACCAAAAAATCACCGATGGTCTAGGCTGTGCTAACACAAATACTTCTAAGTCAGGGTCCCTGGGTTGCCCTGAGATCACCCGTAAACTGTCAACCAAAAATCTCCCCTGAAGTCTTCTGAAAACCAAACAACAGTTTAGCTTGAAAGCTCTGCCTTGAGCATCACGCTGTTTCTGCATGGGAGACAGGAACCTTAGGGACAGGGAGTTGATGTTAACGAGGGAAGAAGGCCTCAGCCAAGGAGGGTGAAAAGGTCGCACAACTCGAAGAATGCCACCAACGCCACTGCACTGGACACGTGAGAACGGCTGAACCGGCGGATGTTCTGCTGTGTAGAGTCTCAACGGCAAAATAAAATCTCAGAAAAATAAACCAATTCATTATCAGTTTTCCTGGCTTGGCAATCAAACCTCGCCTAACTCAATACTAAAAAGACACAGTGTGAACGAGGGTTCTGGACCCCGCCCACATCAGGCTGGCTGGACGGAGGGGGGGGCCGTGTCACTCCATCCTGCCACGCCCTGAGCATCAAGCCTTTGCAGGCACCCTCCCTCAGCCGGAGAAGCTCCCAGCCCGCTGCAGGGACAGTACCAGGCTAGGACTGCCAAGGAGGACTTTCTCCCTAGGTCCCTTCTGTTCTCAACTCTTCAGCTAAAAGCACTAAAGCACTTCACCAAGAAACTAGAGACCTGTAGAACCTCGGACATCGCCCTACTTCACTGAAACCGTTCAGAGTCAAACAACAAAACGCTGAGAAGCCATCGGGAAGCCGGGAAGACAAGCAAGGAGCGCGCCTGAGCTGACCTGACCCCATGGCAGCCCCAGATCCTGCTGGTGGAGACAGTGGCTCAGCCAGCTCCCACACACCTCAGAGCTCCCAGCTCTTCCAAACCCATTTCTCACCATTTCTCATCTTCCCACTGAAATGCCACTGTGCTTCCAACAGTCACGCTAACCTACACCAAAGGCCAGGCAAGTCTCTGTGACCAAGAAAGCCCTTTACACTCTATTGCAGGTTTCTACTGCACAGTCCAGCTGCTAACCAAAAGGTTGGAGGTTCAAGCCCACTCAGATGCACCTCCAAAGAAAGGCCTGGCAACCATCTGAAAAATCAGCCATAAAAGCCCCAGGGAGCACAGCTCCAACGTTGCCATGGGTTGGAGTAGACTCCACAGCACATGGTCTTATCAGACCACCAAAAGGAGGGCCATCCCTGCAAACTCTGAGATGAAACTGCAGCGCAAAAAGAAAGACAGACCTTCCAATGATCCCAGCTCTGAGCCAAGGTCTTTCTGTCCCCTGAGTCCCCACCCTCATCACCCATCTTTCTTCTACAGAGCAGCTCGTGGGTTCAAACTACCAACCTTTAGGTTAGAAGCCAAATGCCTTAACTATTATACCACCAAAGCTCCTTAGGAGGTAAATAAAGTAAACCAAAAATCTAAACCCACTGCCGTCAAGTTGATCTGACTCACAGCATCCCTGGTGGACAGAGAACTGCCCCACAGGGTTTCCAAGGCTGTCAGTCTTTACAGAAGCACACTGCCTCATCTTTCTCCCACAGAGCAGCTGGTAGGTTTTGAATCAGCACCTTTTGGTCAGCAGCTGAACACTTTAAGCACTGCGCCACCAGAGCTCCTCTGCAAACACAGTAAAAACCAAAAACCAAACCCACTGCCGTCGAGTCGGATCTGACTCATAGTGACCCCTCCTTGGGTTTCCGAGGCAGCATCACTACATAAGTAGGCTGCATGACCTTCCTTCCAAGGAGTAGCTGGTGGGTTTGAACCCCCAGCCCTCTGGTTAACAGTCAAATGCCTTAGACACTATGCCACCAGAGCTCCCGCAAATACAGTAGGTTATTAAAAATACCCACTGAACTCAGCTTCCATCAGTCATCTCAAGCGTGCTTGTCCAGTGTCTCCGAGCTGGTAGTGGGATCCTGGGGCAAGACCGGACTTCCGTTTCCCCACCCAGCCCACCACTGACGACACCTCGGCCTGGGCACCAGGTGGCAAATGGACTGTAAGCTGCCGGGGCTCTCCCTTCCCTCAGGGACCCAGCCGTTGGTCTTCCCTGCCTGGTCCACCTGTGTCAGGCAGGAAAGACTCACCCTCAGGCTCTGACATGTGACACATGCGCTCTAGAAGACGGGCCCAGCCTGAGGCCCCGGCCCTTTGGGGAGCTTTCAAATGCAGTGGAACAGACAGAGCCCCCTTGGGCCCTTTGGGTCCCTTCTAAGTTAATCCCAATGTCACAGGTGCTTTAAACCATCGCCACTCCATGGAAGCAAGACTGGGCAATCTGCTTCCATAAAGATTTGCCACCTCGGAAACCCACTGGGGGTCGCTATGAGTCGGAGTCGACTCAACAGCAGTGGGCTTGGTTTGGGTTTGGTCTACTCTGTGGGGCTGGCAATGCCCTGAGGCTG